CTGGAAGAAATCCCTTCTAGGGATAAGTATACCTTTTAAACTTATTTTTCCTGTGTTATATTCTTTTGTCCTTTATGTTTGTAATATGTTTAAAAAATTGTTAAATAAAAAATAAATAAATAAATAATTAATGTAAGTGTATACAGATGTAATTACTGTATGTGTGATTACAAAATAACTTCATTAATTTCCAGGTACGCCAGATTGAGGCAAGGCCACTTTAGCTTTTGATTACTACACATTAGTGCGATGACTGAAAGTTGGTTCAATATAAATCTCCTATAAAATTTGTTAATAATTTTTGTAACACTCGTGATTATATAATGACTTATTTCGTAATCTCTACTTAAAGAACAATCCCCTGGATAAATACTTGTTCGTGTAAATTCTAGTCAGTATTTATATATCCCTTTAACTAATAAGTTTAGTTTTAAGCCGAACTATTTAAAGCGATTTGTCTCTTGTCGTTTTATATACTTCGTAACTTCGTATCGCCCTATAATCAAGAAATATCTATTACGTTTTTTTATTTATATTTTTGGAGTTTACATGTAAGCCATAAATCTCCGTGTTTTGAAGTGCGACAGAATGATGTGACATATTAGTTAGTTGTCAAATCTAATGTAAAAAAAAAACGTTTGTATGGGAAATAGAAAAGGGCTGTTTTTATGGTTTTCCCGGTAATGAATCCATTTTTTTCAGCTTTTATACGTTCCCTGAACCTCCACGAATATTTCAAGACTAAGAGAAGATAAATCCGTTCAGCTGTTCTCGAGTTTTAGCGAGACTAAGGAACAGCAATCCATTTTTATATATATAGATAACTAAAAAGTTTCTCATTCATCTACTCATGGATATATTATTGAAAAGAAATTATAATATCTCAAATAAACAACATATTTATTATTTTATAATTATAAAATACAAGTAAAATTCAAAATTACATTTCTTCAGTTAGTAACATATTTAAATAACTTTTATGCCAGCAAAGTCTTTCCAATCAGCTTTAACAGCTGTTCCAAGAAAACATAGTCTCCAAGAAGTGGTGGACTTTCATTGATTACTTTTATTATATTTCTAAGAACAGTATTGCAAAAACTTAATTCTTATAAACACTTGTACTATGTTTGAAAACATTTTCATCAAACAAACGAGAATAAAGCCATGTAAAGTAAACCTTGAAATTAAAAATCAAAGCCTTCCAGTTCCTCAGAGTTGTTTCTCAATCTTTTTTAGTACGAAACTTAAATTGAAATCACATAGACTTTTCTTTTTTGTTTTATATAAAAGCAATGAGTTTTATTTTCTGTTACATAATCTAATTAGGTATTATTAAGTTTAGCTAAATAAACTAGTTTTAGTGATGGTATGTACACATAAATCAGAATAAACAAAACAATTGCATATATGTCGTGACTGCGACAGACAAGCATCACTCACAGTGGCTGGACCAATGATTTGCTCATAGTAAACGGAGAAGATTGGTTAATAATATATATCGGCGCAGTTACTATTTGAATAATTGATAATTAATTGATGGTAGCTAAATTATCAGGTGTCATGCGCATAGCCACCTGTGGATCGGACCACGTCGAAGTGAGATATTCGTCCAACCGGCTGTGGGAGCTGTAAGGTTACCTTCGGTAGCCTCAGGGCCTGACGACAGTCAAGAATGGAGTCTTTGATGGCGTCATTCTTTTTAAAACAACGAATTCGCTTCTTCTCCGAAATATATTAAAGTGGAGAATTGTACATATTTTGGGTATAACGGTAAACGGCAAACTAGCAGACCGACAACTAAATAAATATTGCGGATGCGTTGCCAATCATTATTGTTGAGGATGACGGAAGGGTGGGAACAGGGAAAGGGATATCGGATCTCGGACTCATCAGACGAAACTCAGTCGTTTAGGTCTACTTCACGCCGATCTTCTGTTAGAAACAGGTACATCCCCGGTCGATCCAACCCATAGTCGCGTTGCAGCAAGTGACCACAACTAGAGTTTACCACCTTTAAATTAATTTTATGTAAAGGAAAAAGGAGTTATTTACAAAATCTGTATTTTGTAGTTATTCATGTTTTAATTACTTAACTGGGTGCGAGTTATTGATCTATTTGTGTTAAGTAATTAAATAGAATCCAGGAATAGAAACAACAATGTGTACTTTCCAAATCATTTTATATATTTTTATTACAAATTCTAAAACCGCTTGAAAATCATATATGAAAATAGACAAAGCAAAATCGGTCTCTATTCAGAATACCGTCGACAAGGTATAACCGGTATTAAATTTAACATGGATACTAGAGTATAAACTTGAACTTAACTCAAAAGTTTTGTAAAATGTAAGGAATATTTTATGTTAATACTATTAAATATTTTGTAACTGTTCAACATTTAACTTATATATATATATATATATATATATATATATATATATATATATATATATATATATATATATATATATATATTTATACATATATTCTTCTCTGCTTTCATGTGAAATAGGCTCTGAATAAAAAATAAAAAACAAATATTTACTTATAACTAATAGTGAAATTACATCGTATTTATTTTCTAGGACTTGAATATTTTAGGACTACAAAATTTCAAGAAATGTAAGGAAATGTTTTTAAGTTTATATTATCCAGTGACGCCATAGCATAACAAAAAACATTATATCACTCATCACTAATAAAAATCTCTTTATATACCAAATGAGGCGGCAATACAGCTCAAACAACAAATGGGATCGACTGCATGACTATGAATATTTCATTCTATATTTTCGATACTAATTTTAATATACTTATTATAACTATCACAATCAAATACATCATCAATAATAAATTGTCCCATTGAATAACTTCATGAAAGAGCATCTTCCCGTTTAAGAGGTCTCGGTTGAATGGTTCAAAATGTAGTGCCTCTTAGAGATTCAGTCTAGATATCCCATGAAGCATAAAAATAATTAGAAGCTAGTTCAAAGATTTTTATGATAAACATAAAATTTATAAGACCTATCATTTTATTATTTAGCTGACAATAAAGTTGTAATAAATGCTACAGGAGTATGTGTGAGTGTATTCATGAGCTATCAATGTTGAATATAGTTTTCTTGGTAAGAAGCAAGTCGTGGTTTCTTCGAACAAAGTTTAAAAATTAAAATCTTTGATTTTATATATTTATTGGAATGGAAAGATATTCATATTGTGATTTTTCTCAATAACATATTTAAAGTTGAAAGCTTCTTTAAAGTCATATCATAGTTTTCTTTGACGAGATTGGATATAAAAGATATTTATTCATTTGATTTCACTTAATGTAAAACAAACATTACTTTACGAGAAAGAAATAATGGATTGTATCGTTAAGATTGTACATATACTATGTAATGACGACAAAACTTAAAAAAAAAATAAGATTTAATTTTTACAAATATTTTCAGTTATATTTACAAGTTTTCTTTGCACTAATCGTATTAAGAAACTGTTGTTTCTTTTTTTAAATCCCCAACGCAAAAGAGTGGCGTCGTAAATTTGACGTCGATATGTCGTCGTCCTTTTCAAAGTTTTATTTATTAAGACAATTACCTTATAACTGACAACCAGATTAACTCTTAATACACACGTTGCTAATGTTCTCAAACAAATTATCATTCGTAAATAAACACTGTAGCTTATACATAATTATGAATATGTTATTGCTTACTGTTTTGTTAAATAAAAAATGCGAAGAATATTGTATTGTCATAACACCACTTACGGTGCGACTGTTACTATCCCCTTGATATTACTATCCTAACCTCTGGGTTATCACTAAGTTTTATTTATAACTTACAAGTTGTAAAAACTCAAATATAAGTACAATTTTATATCGACTATGAACTGCATGGTTTCAGCATAGAAATGTTTTTTTCTGTTTCCTGATAACAAAAAAGCGTATTTTCTTGTATTTAGATGTTAAATAACAATGCTTTTTTTTGCAAGTCCATAAAAGTTTTAAATCGATTAATGAATCTGATTGAAGACAAAATTTATATTAACTCAAATAAACTAAAATTTCTGAGATAAATACTGTTGATTACATTTACGATAGAAGGTAATAAGAGTGAATGAAGCATGAAATTGAAAAAAAAAACAGTACAAATAAAGGTTTAAGATAACGCAAACCCCTTTTAATTTTGAATATTAAAGGAGTATGTGACAAAAAAGTCAATGGGGATAAAGATTGAAAAAATCTTGATTTTTTGGGCTCTTTTACGTAACAAATATGCATATTGGTATTTGAAATTATCAAAAATCATGAAACAATTTTTAGCAACAAGACAAAACAAAATAATATAACGTACTTTACCACACAGAAAAATCTATTTCAAAAATAAGTACTTTTATTTCAGATCATAAACGGATTTACTATTTTATATTTGCATATTCTCTTTTCATACAAATTGTAAAGATCATATTGGAACTATATTAAATTTTGTACAATATTTCTTTGTGAATTATTCCCTCGTTTTGATACTTAATGGTAATAATATATTAAAAACCTATACACATTATTAGAAGATATATTTATGGAATAAAGCACAGCCCTTTATGGGCTTATAAAAACGAATATAAAATAACAATGCTTGTTTATCAACATATACATATATTTAGCATTATATCGCCCACCACTGTACACAATTATATTTTGTTTGAATATATAAAGTGTCTAAAGATTTTATTTATTTTTTTAGATATTTTTATTCATATTTTATTTATAAAATGTTTTTTAAGAAAATACAATATAAAAATTAAAAACGAGTAACTTGTTTTTGGTATAAATTTAGATGTTTGGTCTAAGGCCTTTTTTTTAACGCCCATCTCATCTCTTTTTACTATTTATCTTTTTATCCTTCTTAAGTAAACTTTTTAAACTGTGTGTCCGAAAACTGAAAAAACAGACTATAATGTACATTGGTTTTATTTATATAAAGTACGAATGGTAAAGCTACATTTTGTCCCACGTAGGGCACCACGTTGCTAGAAATGAATAGACCGCTGGTCGCTCTGGGAGGCAGTATCCAAGGCTTTCCAGTAAGGAGGGGGTATTTACGACCGACTTATGAAAGTCATCAAAACTTATAACGCCGTCCAAATCTACATCCATCCGTTTCAACATAATGTCAACCAGCTCCTGTGAATCATTATCAATTTTAAAAAATACATATTTAGAATTCATTATAATATTTAAACCAAAACTTAGTAAGCTAATCCACAGCTTTTTATTCTGACAGTTTTGGACGCGAATACGATACTTTTGATGTTTATGTCTAGTATTTACGTCACAAATGAAACATGAGATAGAATGATTGAATGAAATTGGAGAATGATTGATCGTTTATACAATATATTTTATAATTAATATATTGTATGATATTGTCAGCCATGTTTAATTGTATAAAAACTATTAATAAGTTATTTCTTTTAACAATTATATACTAAATAATTAGTATGATGAAAAGATTTATACAAGTAGATTATCATTCACTACTCAATGGCACTGAACGTACCACAAATTTATTGTCACTGAAAATTTTAAACAGACATTAAATGTCGGATTTTATTTTACGTGTAAAAGAACCCACAATTTGGCGTGAATTGCCGGCTATTGGAAATTTAAAACTTTTATCCAGCCAATTACACTCTTCCAAAAAGAAAATAACACTATTAAAATGAAAGCGATACTCTGGCGATAATAAAAATAATAAAATACTTTTTTTATATTATGTAAGCATATGAAAATATTAGTCGCTTGTGATTTAGTATCACATTATTAAACCGCTTTTAAAATGGGTGCTTTCAGTCTTACGACGTTTCATTAAATATCTCATGGACAAGCAAACAGACATGAAAATGGAAAAATGTCAAAAAAATCATCATTAACAAAGATCGAATATGCTTACGTGTGCGTTTAGTGGGGAGCTGTTAAATTTAAAATAAAAATAACTTATTTTTATTTTTAAAAGCTAAATAATTTATTGTGTGATATCAACCTAACGGTAATTTATTAAGATTCCTATAGCATACATTTTCATCTTAAAAATTATTTATCATGAATAGTGATAGAGTAGACATCGTTTTGACTTTTTAAACATTGGATAAATATATACATATAATTTTATTATATAAAACTCAGAAAAGCACTAAACAAGTAAAGAAGAAGTAAATCGTTAATGATGATGAATATTTTTAAACGAATAATGACATGACTAAAACATTACAACCGGAAAAGTAGTACCTTTAGCATAGAGATTAGTAAACGGGATTCTCATCAGTTAAAAACCAATTTCGTGCAAGTAACCTAAAACTTCAATGCAAATCTGAACATCATGGTGTAAACAACAAAATTCAAATTTTTAACCTATCAAAATATCTAGGGACTTTAAGTTATACAAAATGAAGTTCTTGATCCAAAATATGAGTTTGAGTAGTTTACTAATAGAGAATTCGTTATCGCAACCACCACTACTAAATATGCTACCCTTTTTATGTTAGTAAATATGTTACTAAATATGCTACCCTTTTTATGTTGGCAGTTATGTGGGATTCACGGGCCACAGGGTCCATGCTACCCACTAAAATACCAGTGGTCACTCTCCGTCGCCGCCTAGTGGATCACTACGGGAATCGAAGAAGCATACATCCGCGACGAACCGGCGGCAGGCCGCAAACACCCCCCCCCCCTCCCGAGGGGTCAATCCAAGTGACCAGGAGCGTCACTCCGCCTGGTGCCCTTGCTTAATAGCGAGAGGGTTAACAACCCCCCCACTCAAGCCCACGCGGCCAGTCTCCAACCACCCAAGACCAAGACCCCCAAAGGAGATTAAGCCCCCCCCCCCCCGTGACTGATTGCACCGGAATATTATATATCAATTTTCATGAAAGCTTTCCACGCAACTCGCTTTCGGTCCGCGATGTAAGAAAGTCATCAGGCCGTCTCGGCTTTCTTACATCTCATTTTTTATCAGAAATAGCCCTAAACGTTATTTTGATCTAGTATTTGAATTGGTCCTAACGAATGTTTTATAGTTTCCACTGATGAGCAACAATATGTACAACAGACATCTTTAAAATGTTGTAAAGCACAAATTCAGCAGCATATGGAGTGCTGCTCTTATTTTTTATCACTGTCCACAATATGCGTCTGGTTAACATCGTCCGTATTTTGTATTTTGTAACATGAGTGTCGATGTATTTATCAAAAGTGGTCTTTCTTTATATTTACTATAATAACTTGAAAAATTCATATTGCTGATAGCACAAAACAACGATGTTAAAGACTAATAATATGGCAGAGTTGATAGTAAAATTTATTTTGATAGAATCACTTTTCACATGTAATAACTAAATCCTAGTCCTTTAAGACTTATTATACGTAATTTTCCATATGACAAGTCCTAAAAAGCATTAAAAAATACATAACATTCATTGAACAAAAATTTATAATAGATTTTTCAATGAATTTCAGTTATAAAGATTAAACATTCCTAACATGTTTGGTTTATTTCATTTATTATTGTGGATTTATTTGTTTTCATTGGAAAGGCATTTGATAAATTAAATTTTATTAATCTTCTAAACGTGGACGAGAATCCCAAAAGGTAAAAGCGAATTCAAGTACTGAAACTGAGAAACTAATAAATGCAATTATCAAGGCTAACATTTCATGTCCTTTTGAATTTCACTACCAAAGAAACGTGAATTAAATGTGAAGAGTTTTTTCCTTGTGTGATTTTCTATTTTCCCAGATTTTTTTTCAAACCAAGTAACATTGAAGAATAACATTTTATACGTAAACACATAAATATATATATTACGTATAATATTAGTGTCCTATCCAACAATTTATGTATATACATTTGCAAAAGTTTTTACGCTACTTTAAAATAAAGATATCTCTGTAATGTAGTCAGAATGTGCAGAATTTGGAATTTTAAATTAGACATTTTCAACTTGCGGTCAAAGTTTAATAAGGGGAAATGTTATAAAGTTTTATTTAGTATAATCAAATCTAGATTAATATATTTATGGTTTATAAAAATCATTTGAAATATAGTGTTATATGTATTGTTACTTAACATTAAAAAAAATAAAGTATATCAAAATGTGATCAGACTGATCTAATGATGTGACTGTGATTAAAATCAAATTCACTCGTAATTTTATTACGAGAACTCCTCCAGCGAATGTGCAAATGAATGATGAATGTTCCAACAAATGATGTTCCAATTTGCTGTTACGTAGCTTTTAACAACCATTCGTATTATAAAAGGCACGACTGAACTTACAATAATGAATCACAGTTAGAACCCTCAACGCCATCTTGCGGAATACGGAATACACAGCATCCTCTGCTGCTCTAGTAAATTGTATATTTATTATACACAGTTTCAGACCGAAGAAACTTCGCCAACTTACCTTTGAGGTACTCGAAATTTATAAAAGATGGCGCTACATTCTTCACTTTACAAATATGAGCTATCATTTGTAATAGGTGTATACATTTCATTTATTTTATAAAAATATAGAACTAACTTTTACAGCTTCCTCGACATCGTCATCTCGTGAAGCCTTCGCTATGCTCTTCTTCATCAGCTGGTACATGGTTTCCCTTCTTAAATGACCTTCCCCTAACAAATCATAGCACTGAAATATACATAGATATATTTTTACTAACAGGAGCGAAGATAAAATTTTTATTATGCCAATAGTTCTTTGTAACTATAAAAAGTAAATGTAATTAAAATTTACTGTAAAAGCATATGAAATTCTTTCTTCCAAGTCCCCACGTAAGTAAAGTGATAATGCCTTTGCGAAGGTTGCCATAGTGACGTAAGGAGATGTTCCTCGATCTAAAGCCACCATAACGCGTTCCATCATATATGCATCAGTCATTCCAAGACCAGTATGCAGAACATCACGGAAATGTGCTCTAGATATTAAATATTTTGTAATTAGTTTTTAATGTTTACTTATACATAATTATATTGAAAATAGCTTGTGTTTTTAAATATTAAAGTTTTTAGAGAGTCTAAAGTTTATAAGAGTAATTAAGAAATTACCACTAAATCTAATAAATTAGTTATGTTCAAGCCAGTGGCGTAGCCTTTCTGTCACTTTTAAATTTGAAATTGTTGGAAATAAATTTATCATATGAATTTATTTCAAAAAAATATACATATTTAATTACTGTACACATATTTTATCAATAAATTACCTTGATATTAAGTCTGACGCAACGGGTTTTTCATCACGTTTCTGTATTTTAAAAAATATCACCATAATCTCTGAAAAACATTGAAATTTCACAACTAACTTTATAATCCTTTTAAGTCACTAAGGATATCTTGAATGTTAAAATTTATTAAATGAACTCTCGGCTAGGGTTACTCTTTAAGATGTTGAGAATAAGGTCTACTGAAAGCTTTTTGTCTTACGCTTGAAATGATTAAAGTAACTTCCAAGGACTTAGTATTCCGGAAATTCGAAGACTCGTAATCAAATATTGAAAATGAAAACAAATAATTTGTTTTAATTCAATTAGTGGGGCACAGCTGTACAAGGATTTTACTATTATTATTTTGACCATTTACTTAACCATTTCATTTCTCTTTAAAATCAATAGAATTTTCTTCACTTACTTACATTGTTCTGTTATGTAATAAATTCTAATTATTTGGAATAAAAATAATTAATACATTATCAAAAAAATAACATTTCGAGTCAGTATCTAAGCCTTGCACTTTAAAGAATAAATGGTTTTTTTTTTATCTCACTAAGACTCCCTTGTTTTTCAAGTCCCCAATAAGAATTAATTGAAAACTAACGTTCTAATTCATCGAATGTAAAATGAGTTTCTTTCTGTATTTCTATCCACATAGAACCATGCTTCTTTCGGAATCTTATTTCCTCCATGGGATCCAAAGCAGAGTCTAGAGACGCCGACATTTTTTATAACTATTTACTTTTCTATAGCACTAGTAAGCAATTTTGTATTTCAATATATATTGTATTTATTTACAAACAAGATGACAAATGTAGTAAATGTCAGTTACGTATATATTTTTTTTTCAACTCTTATATTAGGTAGCATATACGAAGGTAACGTTATAAAAGATTGTGACAAATACGTCATTACATGCTATTAGATATTATCATATATGTATTGAATAGGATTTTATTTTTTTCATAAGCCTCTTATAGAATAAATATTATTATTTTTCTCAAGACAACATTAATTATCTCTTGTTGTGTAGATACATTAGTATTTGTTTAGTTTTAACATAAATCTTTTTGTTTATAATATTTCATTAAGTCTTTTCTTCGATTATAAAAATAGTTTTCGATTATTCTAATATAAGAAAATCTTTAGATGGCTGGGTAAGGATTTTGTATTTTACATTAAATAGTATGAACGTGACCAATAAAAAAATATTCAGTGTTATGTTCGCTCAAGTTTATAGTCTACAAGTTGTATAATAGTAATCTTTAAGTCTTCAACTTAACGTCGTAACTTGAACTTTGGTAAAATTAACAAAACTGAAAATACTCTCCTATATGAAGACCATAAAACTCGAGACGTAGCATTTTCTACAAAATTTTACTAGGTATATCTTTTTTGTCTGATTTATATATCCTTCTGTTTTTTTTTTTATTTTTAAGTTTAAAAAACTAACAGTTTATGCAAAATATAATATAATAATAATTTTTCTATTGAAAACATCATAGTGTGCATCCTTTAAAAATATTAAATGATTGATTTTGAAGGAAAACTTACGAGATGAAATTTGTTTTTACTTAAACATCTTATTCTTCTAGGGACACTTCTCCAATTAGCGAAACGCTGTGTTCATTTCAATAGAGTTCCCATTTCTGTTTATTTCGCCTTAGAACTTCTCAGAAAAGTACTACAATCTCTATTATTTATGAATTTACTCCACTCAGAGCGCCAGTAAATGAAAACTTCCTTATCTGGTATAGTTTGCCAAGGCATTTAAAGTTAAGTGCAGGTTTATTAAATATTTTACAATTTAATAAGTAAAATTATTTTTTTTAAGGCATCAATGTGGACTTTGTCTAAGGAAATATTTAACTCTCTATTTCATTATGAAAATGTGAAAAATACAGAAGTAAACAATTATAAAAATTTTAGGGATCGTCAAGACAACATGACATTTATTTTATAGATCGACTGTAGGGATCTTTTTTATTTTTCCTTCATTGCAGAGACAACGAAGCGTAAAATAGAGGGTCACATTAACTACACTGACTTGGTAAAAGCTTTTGATGGAGTCAATACTATTTGTTCTTAATTTTTTTTTATATAGTTGCAATTCAGCAAAATGTGAATGAAGAGGCTTCAAGGTTTCAGAAATTTCTAGATGCATAGGTTTTAATGTAACTGAATAATTATTGTTGTAGATACTCTTATAATAAAAAAAAATCTCTTCGTTTTCTTTATATTTAATAATAAATGAAACGCACAAACATTACAATTTGTATCTTCTTTTGAATTGTTTCCTAAAACACTCAATTAATTATCTTTAAATAATTGAGATTTAATTGCGCATTGCATCAATATCTGTCCCTTTATAAAATGGATATCATCCGTGATTGGAGTTATTCTTCTTTTATATTATACATATAATAAAAGTTTAATTAAATTAGAAACAAATTAATATACTGTTCAAACAATATATTTCTATTTCATACTTTTGTGAAGCATATTCTAGAATACACTAACATATTTTGAAATAGGTTTATTTTACGTTTATTTCGCCCCATATTGTGGTTCCTATTTATTTGCTCAAAGGAACAAAACCTACATTCCATATCGAAAACAGACCGATGAATCCGAACAAATATTCACTTTGAACTGAACGTTGACATTGCATGGATTCTTTTTTTCAAAATACAAGGGAAGGTATACAAAACAACTTTAGATGATAGTAAACATCTTTGTTTGATATGTGGTGACTGGCGAGTTTTCCACATTTATAGGCCAATTTATTATTTTTAAATTAGTTTGAAAGATTTTATTTAAATGGTCGTCTTTAAATTTAATATAAATTTCAGTACAAGGACGACCAATGTAAAAAAAATTACCTTCAAATGCCCGGGAATTAAATATATCTCTAACAGAAAAAAATATTGAAATCTGTTTAGAAAGATTTATCTTCGGAGGCTTATTTATGAGATGCTAGCCAAAATTTTATGACATCGATTTATAAACAAGCTTTATGCTATACAAAATACTTAACAACAAAAAAGTTGAAAATATGCATTCAAAAATAAAAACAAAACGAAATTAAATGAAAAAGGTTACTTTGAAATATAATAAAATTACAATATACTATTAGAATTACATTTATGCCGTTATTTAATAGAACTCAATAACATTATTGCTTTTGCAAAATAAATAATTTTTGGTACTTCTTTTCCATTAAATTGAGATTCTCTGGAGTTTTCAGCTTCGTAATCAAATTTTTATACAAACACTAGATAATCGAATCTGAGCGTAAATTCATGAGAAAGCGTGGAAGTAAACGAAGCACCCACGAAATTGCGAAATCTAATTTATCACTAACTTTTAATTTAAAAACGTACCGCTCACAGCTTTATTATTACACTTTTAAGTTATTTGTCAATTAACGTTTATGTTAATGTTTACTCAATAATATTACGAGTACATAGGTTAGTTATAATTGAAAGACTAAAAAGGAATTACGCTACTTACCCAAGAAATTAATATTTTTTGCAAGCTTTTTTTGCCTGATTTCATCTACATTTAACTTGCATAAACTTACATAAAAATGAGATTATAATTTTATAACCGTTTAAAAATTCACTTTCCTACCTTCATAATTATTTTTATATTATATTTCAAATATTTAATTTAATTTAAATGAATAGCCAGTATATTATAAGTATTTGGATAAACATTTCAAGTGCATATTAAGTTTTCATGAGCAATCCTGACCATCCAAAACAGTATGTAATAAATGGTGGAAAAACATTTACTATATCTGTCCCAAAAAAATCGGGACATACTGTGGTAAGACTGAAAATTTTAATTATTATAGTCTAATTATTTATATTTTATGTGAACTATGTTAATATAACTACATTGATATCGTGTTATATAATATAGATTATGTACATGATACATTGTATGAATATTTTTTAATTTTAAATATGAGGTTAAAATATTTACAAACTATTTAATTACTCTATTCTCACATATTAATTAGCATTCTTTTATTTTGCAACTTTTAAAAATAATATAACAAAAGACTTCGTTTGTAGCTTGTTAAGTGATTTCTTAAATAATTTTTAATAAACTTATTTGATGGAGAATCTAAATATTTTTATCTGTTTCTATGTGATAATTATGACAAAAGTTTATTAAGTTATCCTATTCGGATGTAAGTGTATATTTATAAATATTTTTAACGCCACACAAAATTGAAGATAGCGGTTGAACGGGCGGCTGGCAATTTAATTTTATGATTGAATTACGTCAACCTCTACGTGTTTGTGTCGGGATATTTTATGCAGACGTTTCCGCATTCAAAATAAATAAAGTAAAATAATAATGATTGCTATCATTTTTTATACATATACAACGGCTACATTTATTTGATTATCTTTACAAAAGTCTCATGCTTTCTTATAAAATAGTTTTAATTTAGCAAATTAAATGTTTGACAAATAATCATTTTTTATTTACATCACAAAGGTTTTTACAAATTACAACCAATTTGTTTAATGAAATTTGAAAGAAACTTACTATCTTTTATATTCGTTTCCGCTCTCTTACCTTCTGTTATTTACAAATAAAGCTCAAAATAAGATTGATGAAAAATATAAAAATTATTTTCATGGATGTGATTATAAGTTAAAATAATAGTAAATAAATATCATGAGTTATCAATATACAAATTGAATAGTTTATTATTTTGGATACATTATTTAAGATGATTAAATAATGCCTTAAAAAGAGATGTTAGGTGTATCTCTCGCTCATTGCTTTGCCTTATAAACGTTCCCCTGAATGATGTAGGTATCACGGTAAGATGCAAACAATCTTAAATACCATCTGTTACAACTTTCTTGAAACGTCTAGCAATTCGATGTCAATATTGACATTAATTGCAAACCTAGCCAAATAACGTTTGAGGAAACTTAGACGTCTGTAAAGTTAGTTTGTTAAACATAATTCGACCAATATTGGGATATTAATGTTTCGATACCTGTTCACTATTGAACTAAAACATTTGAATTATTATTATCATGATGTAATACTAAAAATTCAAATTTCAAATCAAAGCCTCAAAAAGTTTAATGATACAGGATACACCTTTAATACGATTTAAGAGCTATCCGCTTAAAAAAGAAGTAAAAAATGTTTCTGTCAATAAAACAACGAAGGCAACGCTACACGTAGTATTTAGTGCTGTGGATGAAATTACAGACTCGCGAGCCACGGAAAAAGGAAAACAATATAAATAATCTGTTTAAAATTTTCACCCTGCCGTAAATTCAAAGTCAACGTTCAGATAGAAATTAAGAATTTTATACATGGCATAGAGGAGAATCAAATAGCATATTCTCGTTTTTAAAAACCCTTTTAACGAACAAAGTACAAGTTTTGTGATTTTATATCACATAAGTTTGTTTTAACATCATGTGGACTTTTTCTCTAACTTTGACCAAGACGTTTAATATAGTATATATTTTACTGTATTACTTCATATACTAAAAATCTATGAAAATACATAAATATTTAATGAATACATAAGTGTTTGTAAGAAACGATTTAATTGCTTCTTATTATTTATGCGATGAACCCTGAAATTATAGATCAAATACGATGATGTTACGAGTAATTTGTTTTATTTGAAGATACAATTATTAATACTTATTATTATTTTGATCAAAATAAAGAT